GTCCCATAAGAAAAATTGCATATGGATAAATCTGGGGACCGAAGAGGCCAATGAACATCGCCAAACTTGGAAATAAGGCGACCAGGGAAGAGGCGAATAACGTCCATGGATGCTCGGGCTGTGTGGGTGGTCGCCCCATCCTGCTGGAACCACACACGTCGGATTGGAATACGTTGCCGTCGTAATTCAGGGAGAAAGAAGTTGGTGATCATGTCGACGTAGTTCAAGGTAACATCACGACCATTACCGTCTTCGAAGAAGTAAGGACCAATGATGCAAGTTTGCGATACAGCGCACCAACCCGTTACTTTTGGGCTGTGCAGCGGTCTTTCGTGTAACTGTCGCGGATTTTCATTAGCCCAATAACGACAATTCTGCTGGTTAACCATGCTGTTTAGGTGATAGTGGGCTTCGTCACTCATAGGCGAAAACGCGGCGCTCCACCGGCCAAGGCTCCATAACGACAACTGGTAAAATAATGCTAGGATCTCACGAGTCAAACGGCACCCTCCCCACCTCTCTCGTAGACGGAAGCGGAGAGTACTACCCATCTCAAAAACGTCCGTCCTCTCTGCCGCACCCAGTATAAAAAATTGAAAAAACACGTTGCTAAGAAGATTTTTGCAACTGCACGAACGTTTTTTGCATACACATGGCTTACAAAATTGATTGACAATAAAATCAAAAAAATTGTTTAGCGTCGTTTTCTGGTGTCCTAGGAGACCATAACACTGGACAACAAATTTTAGTTTTTTAATTGTATCTTGTGGGAATAGTGTACTTCTTTATTAATTTTGGGGCGCTGAATCCAAAAATGACAATGAAATAAAAAAATTAGTTGCGGTTTAGAAAAAAACATTTTATTTTTAAGGATATATTAAAAAAAGTAACAAGATTCATAATACTTATAAGAATCACTATATGCGCTGTCTTTTTGCTGTTCTTTTATGGATCGTTTCTGGAGCATCTCTACCAAGAGTCCAACAGTAGTCTGCAAGCATGGAAGGATTCCACATTCCCTGGTACCTTTTTTCCATTGTTGAAATATCCTGATGAAAACGTTCGCTGTGTTCATCACTTACGGCTCCGCAATTGTCAGGAAAAAAGTCCAGGTGTGAGTGTAGGAAATGTATCTTAAGAGACATATTACAGCCCATCTTTTGATACGATGACAGCATATTTTTGACAAGGGTTTTATAGTTGTCAGCTTTTCTATTTCCCAAGAAATTAGTGACCACCAGACGGAAATCATTCCAAGCAGTTTTTTCAATACCTGTTAAAGTGTTTTCAAACTGTGTATCTTTCAAAATATTTCGAATCTGTGGCCCAACAAAAATACCTTCTTTAACCTTTGCCTCACTTAGTCTTGGAAATTTCTGACGCAGATATTGAAAAGCTGACCCATCTCTATCTAATGCCTTGACAAAGTTTTTCATTAGGCCCAACATGATATGCAGTGGTGGTAATAAATTTTTTTTCGAATCTACTAATGGCATATGCTGTACATTTTTTTGACCTGGCTCTAGGAATTGACGAACAGGCCAGTTTTGTCTGGTGTAATGAAGTGCCTTTGCCCGACTGTCCCATTCACACAAAAAACAGCAAAACTTTGTGTAGCCTAGCTGCAGCCCAAGTAAAAGTGCAACAACTTTCAAATCGCCACAAATATGCCATTGGTGCTCATCGTATTTTATGCATGTCAATAGGTACTTCATATTGTCATATGATTCTTTCATATGAACTGCATACCCTGCAGGAAGAGATGGTAAATTATTTCCAATATGCAATAACACTGCCTTTAAACTCAATGTTGAACTGTCCATAAACAATCTCCATTCTTCTGGGTTATAGTTTATATTTAAAGCCGCCAGTAAGCCGTTAATGTTACTGCAGAAAACCAAGTTATTCTCCATATTGAAAAATGGTTCTAAGTCTTTGTGGCGTTTACGAAAAACACATACCGAATCATCGTCTTCTAATAAGTTCCACTGCCGCAGTCTTGATCCAAGTAACTCTGCCTTACATTTTGGAAGTTCTAAATCTCTTACAAGATCATTTAATTCTGACTGTGTTATTTTGTGCGGTTGGTGGCATGACGTGCTCGGTATAAAATCAGGATCTCTTGACGTTGATGGCATATCTTCTTCCTGACGAATCACTCGATCGCCATGATCTGATTCGTTTTCTGATTCGCAAGTGTAGGATTCTGGGGGTTTTGGAATAGGATTTTCGTCACTGTGAGGTACAGGTCTCATCGCAAATGGTATGTTTGGGTAGTTAATAACCGATTTTTTTTTCTTGGACATACCTGTGGCTTGTCCAACACAAAGTACCATGCAAAAGTAACAATCATTAATATGATTTGTAGGCTCTCTCCAAACCATTGGGACAGCAAAGCGCATAGACTGTTTTTTGCCATTTAACCAGCTCCTCAGACTTGAAGCACATGTATTACAGCAGATGTGGGGTGCCCACTGTTTGTCTTGATCACCTAGTTTAGAACCGAAATAAAGCTGATATGCCTTTGTTATTAGTGGAGTAATGGACCGTCTCTGAGACGCAAAAGTCACATCACCAGACACGTAACAAAACTGATCTGGATTGTTTACACACTTTCGAGACATCTTGCATGAACGCTGTCAGCCAACTGAGGAAAAAATGGCTAATATAAAACAATATAATGTACACGTATGTATAACGTAACACAATCATGCCGATTACATCATCTTTCCTTGCCGAATATAAAAATGTAGCACGTGCATTCTTGTGAATTACAGTATATTAACACTGTCACAGCAGGAACACATATAATTACCGTATCTCTAAAACTTGAACTAATATTGAAAAAATAAGTTTCATTCCGGTTTTAGCACATTAAAAATAGTAATATTTTGTTGATTTTATTTAGGATATATTTTGGCTGTTGATCAGTGTAATTAGTTATTATTATGTTATCTATTATGTTAAAATTGTTACAAATGATTTAGTCAAAATACTGGTTCTAAAATATTCACAATAAGACATTCGGATTTCTGGTGTTTCGCTGGGGACCGTAAAGGGAACTTAAAATCACCATTCCTCATATTCCCATGAGCCCGTTTATACAAAAAGGCAGTTGCTAGAAAAATGCGTCTCCTGTTCAGAGAAACAAATAAACAGCAAAGAGTAATGAAACCTCCATCAGGAAATACACCCATACTAATCTATAAAAAAATGAAAAAACGAGTTGCTAAGAAGATTTTTGCAACTGCACAAATGTTTTTGCATACACATAGCTTACAAGATTTATTGACACTAACATCAAAAAAATTGGTCAGCGTCGTTTTCTGGTGTCCTAGGAGATCATAATTAGTCGTTATAAAAAGTATTGTAATTTTTGGGGACAACAGCTGTCAAGTGTTGCCGCGGGTAAACTCGAAAAAACTGCTGACAGTTTTTTTTTTATACTCCAACTACCACGAAGGCCTAAGGCCTAAACACCCATAGTTTATAAAGCAAACTAACATTAGTTTTTCATATAGATTCACATCCTCGCATATCATTAGGGATCACCCTGTATAAAGAGATTTTTTTTATTTATAAAGTTTTCTTTGCAACCTTCCATTTGTTTGATTGGAGTTAGAGTCCTTATGCATTTTTTTTGATGAATCAAAACCCTGTTTATATCCCGCGAGCTGCCTCAGAAGATTAGACCATATCTAATCCTAGACTGAACAACGCGTGGTATGCCGATAGGGCAACGTCGAAACCAACCAACATCCTCAACGAGCGCCTCCCAGTCCAGTCGCCTGTCAATCCTAACACTCAGAAAAGAAATGTTTTCTGCTGTCCCAATACCTGTATTTTTATAAGAAAAAGAAAGTGGCATCCGTTCTAATGGGTGATTTTTTTGCTAGTATCTTTTTGGCAACACCGTTTTTGACAGATGACGCGTGAATCGTGTCTTGTGTCATTGTCAAACTTGTTCAGTTTGGTTTATAATTTAACCATGAATCGACTTACGAACGAACAACGCTTGCAAATTATTGAATTTTACTATCAAAATTCATGCTCGGTTAAGAGAGTGCATCGAGCACTGCTTCCAATTTATGGGCAATTTGGTCGGCCTACTGAGGGAGCTATTCGGAAGCTTGTGACTAAATTTCGAACCCAGTTTACATTATTGGACATTAAACCACCAACACGCAGACTTAGAGTGAGGACTGATGAAAATATTGCGGCTGTATCCGCCACTGTTAGTGATGACCGTGAAATGTCGATTCGCCGCCGTTCGCAGCAATTGGGCCTCTGTTACTCCACTACGTGGAAAATTTTGTGACAGGATTTGGGTGTAAAACCTTATAAGATACAGCTGGTGCAAGAATTGAAGCCACACGACCTCCCACAACGATTCCAATTTGGTGAATGGGCGCTGGCAAAGTTGGAGGAAGATCCACATTTTTATCGAAAAATTGTGTTCAGCGACGAAGCTCATTTCTGGTTGAATGGGTACGTTAACAAGCAAAATTGCCGCATCTGGAGTGAAGACCAGCCAGAAGCATTGCAAGAGCTACCAATGCATCCCGGAAAAATCACTGTTTGGTGTGGATTATGGGCCGGCGGCCCGTCAATTGGCCGCCCAGATCGTGTGATTTAACGCCGTTGAACTATTTCTTGTGGGGCCATGTTAAGGCTAATGTCTACAGTGATAAACCAGCAACGATTGACGCACTGGAAGCCAATATTGAAGCATTTATTCGTGAGATACCGGCCGATATGTTGGAGAGAGTGTGCCAAAATTGGACCTTGCGCATGGGCCATCTAAAGCGGAGCCGCGGCCAACATTTTAAACATTAAATTATATCCACCGTTCTATCGACTCAAATAAAGGTTTAATCGTTTTTTTCAAATTTTTTGTGTTTTTTTTTTTGAAAATCAAATCCTATACCTCTTAAAAAATCACCCGTTATAAAAGACGGTTTACCGCCCGGTCGTAGATGAAGGTTCTTTTTTCGTTTCAGCTGCAAGGCGACATCCACCACGTACAGTGCCAGCCCATCATCCAGAGCGACGGCCAATTGGCTGCGGTCCTGGAACTTTGGAGGCGGGAGGGGGGCGGGCCTTTCTACGAGGAGGACGAGGAGATCGCGGCCAGCTACCTGGTGTGGGGCGGCATCGCGCTCCACTACGCGCAACTATACCTCAACATGAACCAACAGCGGAAGCTTAACGATTTTCTATTGGCTGTTGTCAAGTAAGTGTAAGAATACCTTAAGCTAAGAGTAAAAGGCTACACCTTTCAACGTGAACAAAATTTAGCGTGAATTTTATCACTCATAATTACACGATAATCTTATTTCGGTTCTAAAGTGTGTCCCAATATGCCGTGGACATTTTAGGACTCAAAATAAGTCGATTTTACCTCTATGCCAGACGTTCTAATATTTGACTCTTACGAAAAGCGCCAAAGGGTTAGAGAAGGTAAAAACTACCCCCACCCTTTCATAAATTGTAGCGGAATATTTTCACGACCCTCCCGACGACACTGAATTTTTTTAATCTAGCAGATATTTTCATTTACTTAATTTTTTGTCTTCTAATAAAAACATACTAACTCATATAGTTTCCGAAAAAAAATTAGTTGCATCAAGAGTCTTATCAATTCTTTAAGTGTGGTTAACAAAAAAAAACAAATGTACTCGTAGTATGATATAACTTATTACAATTTTATACTAAGTGACATATAAATCCGAACACCCAGTTTAAATGGTTTTATTATAATAAAATTTTGTATAAGTACTTAATGAAGCATAATAAGTAAATGATAAAAATTTCAAAATAATTGCACTGCTTTAAAGCCCTTTGACCTTTAATAATGTGTGGATGCACCCTGATGTGCTACGCATTCTCCAACGCGCCTAGGCATGCTTCTGATCAGGTGGTCAATGTCCGCCTGTGGTATCTCATTCCAGGCAACCACCAACTCCTCTCGAAGTGCTTCTAGAGTCTGAGGAGGACGTTGCAAATTGAGCAATCTCCTACCCATCATATCCCACACGTGCTCAATTGGGGATAAGTCGGGAGATCTTGGTGGCCATGGTAACAATGTGACATCATTATGTTGAAAGAAGTCTATTGTGACTCTTGCAACATGTGGTCGGGCATTATCTTGTTGGAAAGTTGGATGTGCCAGGGTGTCAAGATAGGGTAAAAGATGGGGTTCTAGAACTTCGTGGATATAACGCTGCGCGTTCATGTTACCTCTGATGAAGATTAAAGGTGACCTGGAACCATAAGCTATAGCACCCCAAACCATAACTCCAACAGTGTGATGAAATTGTTCTTCAACAAAAAACTGTGGATTCCTCCTTTCACCACGTCGCCTTCTAACCCTGCCACGACCATCGTGCATGCCTAAACAAAATCGAGACTCGTCACTAAAGACAATACTGTTCCATTCCGGATCCCAGAGTGACCGTTGTCTGCACCACTCAAGGCGATTACGTCGGCGTTCTCGAGTTAAAGGGACGACCCAGTGTTGCCGGTATGAAAACAAGCCAAAACTTCTCATTCATCGGTAAACACTTCGCATGCCAATAGGTCTTCCGTGTTCTGCAAACCATTCATTTGCAATGGACCTGGTAGTGGAGAAACGGTCCCTTAAGGCCAATAATCTTAGGCGGCGATCTTCACGGTCTGTTGTTCTACGGCGGCGTCCAGTGCCCCTTGCTCTTTGCGTACGGCCTTCTCGAAGCCATGCCTGACAACACCTAACCACAGTGTCTACACTTCTTTGCACTCTAACTGCAATTGCCCGAAAAGAAAGTCCAGCTTCCCGAAGTCCCACTATACGGCCCCTATCAAACTCACTAAGTTGACGAAATCGTACAGGTTCTCCGTACTCTAGGCATCGTAACCGATCGTAAAGGATGTCAAGAACCAAAATCCGCCAACGTTGATTCTTTACTGCGGCTGAAATATTCATTTTTAGAGCGTTAGTGAATTAAAAAAAAGCAGTATAAAAACCGGAATGTCCAACTGATAAGGCTGAAAATTATTTCACTTGTTATTTACAGTAAGATAAATACATTCACCAACTTTTATTAAAATAAAACCATTTAAACTGGGTGTTCGGATTTATATGTCACTTAGTATATTTAATGCAGGCAATAGTGCGAAAATATGACGATTTGGGATTCGTCGATTCGTCGACCTTCACAGAAACCAAGTACCTACAACATACCACTCTGTTCTTCAAAAGAATATTCCATAATCACGAGAAAACAACAACTTAAGCAAACATAATCTCAAACGTTAATTAGTTTGAAATTTATGAAGAACAAAGGACAAATTTACAATAAAAAAATCTGTGGTACTGACTCTGATTGTGATTTCAAACCGTACTGTGATTGGCTACTGGTACTGGTTCTTGGATTAAAATTAAAAATGAAGCTTTTAATAGCCTGAATCAAAATCTCTTACAAAGATGACAAATGGCGCGCGCAGGAATTCTACCCAGGGTGGTCGATTAGACGTGGTAAAGAGGAAATTTGTTGTATATTATGGTTATGGTAGTTAGTAAAAATGGAACTGAATAAATTCTGATTTTTTCAAAATTTTTTGTATGGGTTCTTGAAAATATTACTATATAGTATTTTTTGTATACACGATGTGGGTAATATCGAATATAGCGTCTCATTTGATAAAATGCAACTATATTCGATAGGATACATAGTTGGGTACGATATGATCGTTTTAAGACATCCTATATATACTAAGTGACATATAAATCCGAATACCCAGTTTAAATGGTTTTATTTTAATGAAATTTTGTATAAGTACTTAATGAAGCATAATAAGTAAATGATAAAAATTTCAAAATGATTGCACTGCTTTAAAGCCCTTTGACCTTTAATAATGTGTGGATGCACCCTGATGTGCTACGCATTCTCCAACGCGCCTGGGCATGCTTCTGATCAGGTGGTCAATGTCCTCCTGTAGTATCTCGATCCAGGCAACCACCAACTCCTCTCGAAGTGCTTCTAGAGTCTGAGGAGGACGTTGCAAATTGAGCAATCTCCTACCCATCATATCCCACACGTGCTCAATTGGGGATAAGTCGGGAGATCTTGGTGGCCATGGTAACAATGTGACAACATTATGTTGAAAGAAGTCTACTGTGACTCTTGCAACATGTGGTCGGGCATTATCTTGTTGGAAAGTTGGATCTGCCAGGGTGTCAAGATAGGGTAAAAGATGGGGTTCTAGAACTTCGTGGATATAACGCTGCGCGTTCATGTTACCTCTGATGAAGATTAAAGGTTACCTGGAACCATAAGCTATAGCACCCCAAACCATAACTCCAACAGTGTGATGAACATGTCTTTCAACAAAAAATTGTGGATTCCTCCTTTCACCACGTCGCCTTCTAACCCTGGCACGACCATCGTGCATGCCTAAACAAAATCGAGACTCGTCACTAAAGACAATACTGTTCCATTCCTGATTCCACAGTGACCGTTGTCTGCACCACTCAAGGCGATTAGGTCGGTGTTCTCGAGTTAAAGGGAGGACCCAGTGTGGCCGGTATGTAAACAAGCCAAAACTTCTCATTCGTCGGTAAACACTTCGCATACCAATACGTCTTCCGTGTTCTGCAAACCATTCATTTGCAATGGACCTGGTAGTGGAGAAACGGTCCCTTAAGGCCAATAATCTTAGGCGGCGATCTTCACGGTCTGTTGTTCTACGGCGGCGTCCAGTGCCCCTTGCTCTTTGCGTACGGTCTTCTCGAAGCCATGCCTGACAACACCTAACCACAGTGTCTAGACTTCTTTGCACTCTAACTGCAATTGCCCGAAAAGAAAGTCCAGCTTCCCGAAGTCCCACTATACGGCCCCTATCAAACTCACTAAGTTGACGAAATCGTACAGTTCTCCGTACTCTAGGCATCGTAACCGATCGTAAAGGATGTCAAGAACGAAAATCCGCCAACGTTGATTCTTTACTGCGGCTGAAATATTCATTTTTAGAGCGTTAGTGAATTAAAAAAAGCAGTATAAAAACCGGAATGACCCACTGATAAGGCTGAAAATTTTTTCACTTGTTATTTACAGTAAGATAAATACTTTCACCAACTTTTATTAAAATAAAACCATTTAAACTGGGTGTTCGGATTTATATGTCACTTAGTATACAAAAAACCTAGCACGAGAAACTTTATACCTTTTATAAGACCAAATGACCAGATCCATATTTTCAATATCATGCTCAAATAGAAAATAGAACATGAATTACTTATGCTTTGTGTTTAACCATTTTTTCCCTCTTTTCCACTTTGTTTGCAAGCTTGCACATCAATTGTTTTATCTTTTTTTCCTGTTTGATATATTTTTTATATTGATCCATTTTTTAGTTATTTTTTTGTTTTTATTCATTTTTTCAAACATCCTTATGGTAGTCATCATGTTACGCCTATGTTCCGACAATGCTTGTAAAACAATTTATAAAACTTGCTTGTTTTGCCAGTGCTGAATAAGACTTTGCAATAATGTTTTATAAAGTATGTATATACAGGGTGTAAACGTTATGATAGTCGTTATTGAAATGGGTAATAGGGGGGGGGGGGGGTTCAAAACAAGTCAAAAGGTTCATATAACCCATGGTCCAAAAGTCATTAGATTTTTGTCTAAATGGCTTTATAGTTTACAACTTTTAAGTGCTTTATATCAACCACAATCACAACAATCTTACTAATTTTTATATTCTAATCTAAAACGTTTTTAAATTGCGTAAGTTAAGCCAAAATTTGTAGTCAGTGAGTAAGTTTCATTAAATTAAATATTTAAAACACACATGACAACAGCGCGTCGGTCATTCATCACTCTTATCGAACCGGCAATCGATCGCAAACGGTAACAGTGGTTAGTTATTGTTCGCGTACGTCGTCATGTTTAGTTACAATGTTCGCGAATCAAGAGTTCGCCCACATCTTGTTAGTTTACGGTGAAGCTCGTCAGAATTCTAATCTTGCAGCTCAAATTTATCGTGACACATTTCGCCAACGGGTACACCCAGACAGAAGGACATTTGTGCAAGTGTACCAAAGACTTCGAGATATAGGAAGTGTTCAGCCCACTAATATTCGCACTCGTGAAAGACAGGTTACTGTAGACCAGGAGTAACAAATTTTAAATATCGTGGAAACTAATGAAGATATCAGCACTCGGGAATTAGGCCGCCGCGTAGGACTAT